GTGTAACCTCCCTGTCGCTCATGTGCTACAACACTGTGCACCGCGTACACTAGGGCACCCTAGATGCCTACCGCAGCATAGCGCACAGACCAATTTAAAATAAATAAATAAATAAATAACTGGTTGCTATTTCGGAGTAGATGCATTTGGGTACAACAGGTAAGCACAAATTCCTACAGACGAAACTATTTTTAGTTTGACTAGTCCGCAAACAGATGCACCATAAACAAGAAACTGTTCTAACTAATGCTGTCTGTCAGATGTCAATGGCAGTCCATCTAACTAATCAAAAGTAAAGATAATGTCATCTGCATGGGTCTGTTCACAACATGGTATCTTACACGAACTTATCACCTGGAATCTACCCTGTTCCCCAATCCCCACTTGATTGTTGACGTCAGCGTTCCTAAGCAATCCGGTAGCATGCATGACTAAAGGTGCGCACACGGCCCACCCCTGTGCCCCGAGTAATTGTCAAGCTGGCCAGCCTTGCACGTATATTTACCCTCGGCGTGCCGCGAGCCTTACATCACTGGCTGATCAAGAGGCATTTTAACGTCCGCCCCCAAGTGACATTAGGAATTATTTTACGTCGCAGCAGGACGACGATCACAGCCAGTCATATCCCCAACCCGTGTTTGTTTATAGACGCCGGGTTCTCGTCGTTCCCATAGGGCTGGCCTGCCCAACAATACCCCTCTATGAGCGCAGCAAGCAGACAAGGACAAAGCAGCAAAGCATGCGTTCTCTACTCCCAGTGGGCTGGCATGGTGACCGTGACCCAGTGCTTCGTCCAGGGCCCTTCAGAAAGCAACGCCCTCTCCTTCCTGATGCCCCACAGGAAGTAAGCCGACTCTCAAGGTTGAGCGCACTCAACACCTCACATGAGAGGACTCTCAAGATGGGACACACAACCTCACGGTAAGAAGTGTCGAAGAGGGTAGATAAGGTTACGAGCAACGTACCTCAATATAGCTGCCCCCAACCACATATATTCTCACCAGATGACCTGATGGAGATTGCGATGACCAGTCACTGCATCGGCACAACCAACATTATCTCGCCGTTCCACCTCAGCATCAATCAACCACCAGATAGTTCTCATCACACTGTAAACACCCAATATACATACCACGTAGCCTTCCAGGCGATACCCCTGGGTCGCCAACCACTTGTCTCCGCCCTCCTCACTACACACCACTTATGGCCAAACTCGCCAAGCAGACCGCATGTATGTACCGTACCAGGCAGAAGACAAACGCCAGATGAGCGCAATCGAACCACAACTCTGATACCAAATTGCAAGGAAGATGAGCAATAGCGAACTTCAGCAATCAAACAGCATCATACATATGAGTCCAGATAGTCTTGACCTCAAACCAACAGCAGAACTGCATCACGAGATTCACCAAATAAGAACACACCAAGAGTTCATAATTGACAATGCTGAAATAGACCCATCATCATCAGTGAAGAACCAGCGTTGATATCCTATCTGGGGCTCAGCACCCGGACTACATGTGGCAGATCCTATCTAGCCTACACTACAATGCCGAAAGATGACGTCAACAACTTTCCCGAAGTACGAGCATATGGCGACCAATGTCGCACGCTTCCAGCACCAGGTGTGTCTCTCGCCACACTCACAACCTCGTTCCCCAATACACAGATGCCACTAGCACCCAAGGACCACCCTGCGCCACACCCAGCTCATAGCGGAGCAGCTCGGCTATGGCTGCCCGCTCCTTCCTGCTCGCCCGTGAGAGCGTGAGTGCCAGCCAGCAAATAGCGCAGCCACGCATGCGCAGCATGCAGCCAGCACCCGAATGCCGAATGAGGAGGCAGGCCCTTCGCTATATCGAAGTGGCCTGCCTGCGTCCAGTCCCAAGAAGAGGGGGGTTAGACGAAGAACAGGGGAAGATGGGAATGTCGTCAACACCAAGTCTTCAGTACAGGTCCCAAATAGTCCCTCGTCAAATGTCTGAATCCCAATGTCGAGTCTGGATCCAAATGCCGTCAAGTCCCAAAGTCACCAAGCTCTCTCTCCCGTAGTCTGCAGATACTAAGAAGTCAGGTAGCAAGAGGGTGAGGTAGACATGGTGGACTTAGAAGAGGAAGAAGAAGAACTCTCTCTCTCTCTCTCTCTCTCTCTCTCTCTCTCTCTCTCTCTCTCTCTCTCTCTCTCTCTCTC